TAAAGAGCAGGAAAACTTGGTTTTCTCCTCCTCCCCACTCCCCTTTACTCTTCTAGTCAGGTATTTATTCCATTTTCACAAGCACTAGCAACCTTCAGCCACATTCTTGCTGCCAGCTGTCAGTGACTGATCCAAACACTCTGCCCTTTCAGAAACTGAAGCTTAATTTGTTTAAAGGTTATAGTGCCATTTTCAAGTAGTAAATCAAAAGCTGTCTTTAAACACTCTTGCTATCCAGCATTCCTGGTCCTTCCTGTGTTAAAGAAGAAACCTGAGTCACAGGTGATGAGATTCTCACATTTTAAGACTTTTATTCAAATGTCACAATATTTTTATAAGATTCCATTGTATTCTGGGGCTGGGCAGTCCATCTAATGTCTTCCTTTAAATGTGACATTTTTCTTTTGCTGGGCTTTGTGCTATTGCAAATTCATGAGGCTCCAAGATAGAGTCTGTGGTATCTGTATGTAAAGATACTGCAAATGTACAAACTCATCTGCGTGAAACCTTCTGAAAATTCAGTCTGCTAGTAAAAGGATAGTGTTGGAAAGATCTCCTGCACCTTGAATAAGATCATGTTACGTGATACATGAACTAAATCATATGATCCAGCATGTTGCAATTACAACATTGCTTTAAGGTTTCTCCGAGCTTGTCTAATTGCAGCCCGGTTTTCGTTCTGGGTTAGTTCCATGCTTTGTTTATCTGTTCCATATCTGTTAAATTTTATGATGAAATAGACAATCCATCTTATAACTGATATCCCCATACCACCTTCATCCCTAGATGATGATGATTATTTTTAACTAAGATTATTAAATCTTTTAGTAGAGCAAGTAGGACTTCTCCATCCTCAGCATTTCACAGGGATGATAAAACTGGTAACTCCTCAGTTCGTATCTCATTTGCTTACTTCATGTAGTGTTGCGTTTTTCATTGCTTAACTGCAGTGTTTAATGCTTAAACAGTTTCACTGGAGCTGTACTGAAGTTGTTTATCAGTTCTCTATTATAACACAAAAGTATTCCTGTGAGTTATGTAAAACTACACCCTAGTCTTTCAACATGTTTAAATCCCTGCCATCTCATCTCACACATCTGAAAACGTTTGAAACATCTCAGAAACATTTGAAAAATAGATTCATGTGATTTCCCCTCCCTTGTGAGATGTAACATTGTGTTCAAGCATGTAATTCCACATTCTCTCTGACTTGAAATTTGCTGATACTGAAATTTGCTGCTTCCTGTGAATTTGCATTTGTCCTTCTTGTCCTGTGCCAAAGCTTCTGATTTGCAATTAAGTAAGTTTCCAAGCACAGTCTCCTTTTCTTAAATTGCAAGATTAGTTCACATCATGAACAAAATAATAAACTTGTTATGGGTGAAGCGCTGTTGCTGTCCCATGCTTCCTGTCTTAAGTTTCATGATTCAGTGTAGAAAATAGCCTCAGCATTCTCTCAGCTCCTTTTCCTGTTCACACTCTGGATTGCTTCACAGTCTTATTGGTGCACTGAATGTAGCAGATCTGTATACTTCTGAGGTTTTAACTGCCTCTGTCCTTATGACTTTACTAGCAGACACTTTTTCCTGATTATTCTTAACTTTTTTTTTTTCCCTTTAAATCTCTCCCCTTCCCCCTCACACCTAATTATTTCTTCATAAGAAAGTTTTAGTTGCACTTTCATGTTCCACAGGTTAGGAAGGACCTCTGGAGGTCAACTGGTCCAACTCTCTGCTCAAAGTCAGACCAATTTTGATGTGAGATCAGGTTGTTCAGGTGCTTGTGCAGTTGAATTCTAAAAACTTCCAAAGATAGAGGTTTTGCAGCTCCCCTGGACAGTCTGCTCCATTTCCCAATCCTATGGATTCTTTTCCTACTAAGTAGGATTTCCGATGTTCCAGCCTGCCTGTTGCCTCTTGTCCTTTCACTTTGTATCTCTGAAAAGTGAAACCTCCTTTCAACTTCTGTTGAGGCCAACCATTTAGACTTCCTTAAGCTGCACAATTCCAATTCTCTCACCTTCTCTATGAGTTCGTGTGGTCCCACCCTCTAAGTATCTTGGTGGCCTTCCATTAAGCTAGGCAATGTTTTGATATTTTCTTGCAGTGAGGAGCCCAAAACTAGGCATAGTGTTCCAGGTGTGGTCTCACAAGTGACAGAGGGGAAAAATCACTTCCCTCAACCTGCTGGCTATATGTTTACCAACGTAACCTCGTATGCAGTTGGTGCAAAGGCTTGCTGCTCGTTCCTCTTTGTTCATCTTGTTGTCCACCAGGGCTCACACGTCCTCTTTCTCAAGGTGCCTTCTAGCTGGTGAGTGCCATCCCGCACTGTTGCGTGGTGTTGTTCCTTTCCATGTACAGGACTATGCCTTTGCCTTTGAACTTTGTGAGGTTCCTGTCAGCTCAATTACTCATCTTGTGTGGGTCCCTCTTAGGAGCAGCCTTCCCCTCCAGTGTATCAACTTTGAACCACCGACCATGACTTCAGCAAGTTTTACACCCACCTTGTTATTTCTCTGTGCAATCCATGTTCTCCTGGCCTGGTTTGGCTACAAAGATACTTTGAGATGCTGTGTTGAAAGTCATGCTACACTCAAGGAAGGGAAATGTGTACTGCTCTCCCCTTGTCCAGCAAGACAGACATCTCCTCATGGAAAGCAATCAGGTTAATGAAAGAGTTTGTCCTTTTTAGATCCATTCTGGCTTTCTTGTCCATCAAGTGCTTGGAAGTGAATTCCAGAAGGATTTGCTCCATGATCATCATGGGCAGTGAGGTTAGGCTGCTGTTCCAACCTGTAGCTTTCTGGATACTCTTTGTTGCCCTTCTAGAACACAGACGTGACGTTTGCCCTTCACCAGTCATCAGGAGCCTCCCCAAGTTGCTATGACCTTTCAGAGGTGATAGAGAACAGCCTGGTAATGGTGTTGAGTTGCTCCTTCCTCCATGCTTAGGTGCATCCTGTGTCATCTCATGGCCCGGTGCATGTCAAGTTTGCTTTATTGGTCTTCGACTTCCTCTACTGTGATACTTCACTGCCCCACACCCCTTCAGGGAGCTGGGAGGCCTGCAAGCAGAGCTTGCCGGTGAAGTCTGAGGCAGAAAAGGCACAAAGTACCTTGATCTTCTCCATGTCCTTTGTCACTAGATCCCCTATGCCACTGAGAGCAGCAGGCCCACATTTGCCTCATTCTTTCTTTTATTGCCACTGCATTTATAACGGCTCTTGTTTCCCTTCATAACCCTGGCTAGAGTCAACTCCAGCTGAGCTTGGCTTTCCCAATTCCATCCTTGCATGCTTGGGAAATGCCTGCTGGGTAGCCCATCCCAGCTTCCATGTTCCAAACCTTCGCTTTTTGAGCTTGAGCTGAGGCAGAGGTTGCCCGTTCAGCCAGACTGGCTCTCTGCCATGCCTGCTCGATTTCTAGCTAACTAGAACAGACTGTTCTTGTGCTATGAACATGTAATCTTTAAAGATCAACCCACTCTTCTACCCTCCACAGCAGCTTCCCACAGGATCCTGCCTATGAGTTCCCTGAACAAGCTGTAGTCTGTTCTCCTTAAGTCCAAGGTCTGCTATTTTCTTTCCTCAGTTCCCTCAGGGTCTTAAATTCCACCATCTCACTGGTTTTTTTTCAGGCAAGGCTGCTACAGACTTTGTCATCCTTGGCCAGTTTTTTCTTGTTTGTGAGTATCAGAGTGCCTCCCTGATTGGGTTTGTTGCTCACTTGGGTCAGACATCTCCTGGATTGCTTGTAGCCTGCCAGGTCGCTCTTCATGAATATGTAGGAATGGTTAAACTATTTACTAGATGTTCGTTATCATTAACTCCCTGCTGACAATGTCATCTTTAATGTCATACTGAATTAACTGTACCTCTGCTCCTTTTATTTTTTCCTGTATTCAGATCTGAGATCCCCTTTAATGCCTTTCTTGGGATCAAATTCCACAGTCTTTGACCCTAAACAGGAATCTCGCAATATACACCTGTGCTCCTCTCTGCAGATAAACCTCCACAGCTCTTCATACAATTTCATGCTCTGCTTTGGCAGAGGTCTTGTTCCAGCCAACCTGTTTCGCTTTATTTTGTTCTTCCTCTCGGTGTGTGTGGGGGCAGTGTCAAAGCTTCTCACGCTTAAGAAAGATTACCTCCAGTATTATGGATTCCATTCATTGCTCCCATTATCTTTTGTCCTTGTAATAAATAGAATTAAAGAGACTACGACCTCGCATGTTTTTAGAATTTGTCAGAATTTCAATGGTTTCCCTCACAGATTCCCACAATTGCTAACAAGAAAAATACTGAAAGACAGAGCTTCTCTGCAGAATATTGCACCAGAGGGTACTTGAACAGAGCATTGTAGACCTAATTTGAAAAATTGTAGAGCTACACGTGGTGAACACTGAAAAGCACTTTTGAGATGGCCAGCAGTTACATAAACACACGTAAACTTGAATTAATATTTCATATGGAATGAATGAGTGGATCTGAAGTCATACCCTTACATGATCTGAAGTTGCACATGAAGGTGTTATATTCCTCACGTTTGACTGCTGTTGAACATTCCAGGTGTGTAGGAGCAGGATGCACCTGCAGTGCTTTTGTGCGTGCCGGGTACTTCACACTCCTGCATTATCAACAGAGTGCCAGTGGATCCTGACAGCACAGCAGGTGGCAATGAATAATTGTCTGAAAATTCAAGATAGGCATCTCTGGTTCTTTTTGTTACCAGCATCTTCCTGTAAGCTTGTGAATGATTATTAGGGGTGTGAAATGAGAGTCAGCAAAATCCAAAACACATTTCAGTTAAAGGTATGTGGGTTCCAAACAATCATGAAAATGGCTATTAATAGTGACTGCAGATTTCAAGAACTACCAAGAAGGCTCTAAACAGTTAAATAAAAATAGCTTATTTTGACTCAAAATGAAAAACGTTAGAGAAAATTCTTGTATTCTGTTAATACATGCATTATCCCAACTTTTATTTGATTTGTTTTAGATGAGAAGATTGTGGAAAAAATCCGAGCTTTACAAATGAAAGCTGAAGACTATGATGTTGTTAAGGTGATTGGAAGAGGGGCTTTTGGAGAAGTGCAGCTGGTAAGGATGTAATGATTTAACGATTAGACAGATTTACAGCTCTAGCCAAAACCTTCCCTGGTCTTGCATGCTTTATATCTAAAAATGCATTGTTATAAAGAATAAGTGATATTTTCATTCTATCATGAGGCCACTTCTGTGCATAGTAAACAGTACATCTGTTTTTAAAACATGATGGGCTGGAAAGGGAGGACTTGGGAAACAGTTTGCTTTCCCTTGATCAACATGTCAATTCTAAATTGTTTTGGCTGCAAGCGTCACTATATAATATCTGAAACCTTCCTATGAAAGAGCAAGTTAATAGTGCAACAAAAAGATTGTTTCGCTCTTACAATTGTGATGCTTGCATTATATTTAACTGATAAAACTCATTTAAGGTTTTTTTAAGACTCTTTTCTTAACATTGTCCACTCAACATTGTAACCTATATACCTAGTGTAAGAATGGGATTACTGTTAAAACTTATATTGCAGAGAAATTCTGTTTTAAAAAAGCAATCAAAATACAAAACGTAACTTTGTATATCATGCGTGTTTTCATTTAATTTTGGTTTTTCCTGGACTTCCAAGACATACTGTGTGATAAACAGCACAAAAACATGAGCATATGTGTAAGATGGATTGAGATCACCAAACAGAATCTGAGAATAAAAACTCCAGGGACAAGTTACCAAGAGCTCACAAATAACTGCGTATCAGCTGATCCATGATACATTTTCTGTGTAAGCATTTTTAGAGGAAGAGAGATGTGAAACCAGTCAATGGAAAGGGGAGCAACTAGTTTGGTAACAAAGATCAGGCTTTTGCTTGTGTCTTCTGACAGTGGAACTGACATTTTACTGTTCTGTGCTAATTTTGCACTCGAAAACTGGGAAAATCATATTGTCTTGTAGTGTATAGCAATTTTGGAAAATACACAGATTTTTTTTTTTTTTACTTCTGTTGAGGAATGTGGCAAGATCGGAGCTCTGAAGTGCTTATATGAGGTTCACAACGTATAATGGCAATACATTTATAACATTATTTGTATTTTCCATATTAGTATTGGTGAAATTGGTTGGAACTGGGGAAAAAACCCTCTGACTAGCCTAATACTATTTGTGTGACTCATGGGTAATTTGCAAATTTAGATGTAAATCATGTGGCAGTTAACAACATTTAATCAGCAATTTTTATTCATTTATTTAATTTTTAAGACAACTTTATCCAAGTGTGGCAACATGAGACTGTAGCTCCTTCTTCCCTATTTCTTTCTGGGTCATTTGTGCTTTGTTTTTATGTAGAATTTATGGAGAGGAGTATTTCCAAACATTCTGGTTTTCAAACAAGACTTTAAAGAATTGCTATGTATCTTGCATATGCTTTCATATCCTTGCTGGCAAGAGAGTAAAAACAAAACCAAAACCTTCAGCAGAACCTTACTTATTTGAGAAGGGGCTGCTGCAGGGGGCTTTGTAAGAAGGCAGTCTACTCTTTGTCTTTTCACTGACAGTCATGTCAAATGGTTTGTTTTAAAGTCTTCCATTAGACATTTTTATCATTATATAGATCCACTTAGAGTAGCGAGTAGAGACGCTCCTTTTTCATGCACTTGCATGGGAAGTCAGCGAAGAATCAAGTTGTAAGGAATAGAGTTCCTCGTCCACTTGTTGGGGGAGGAAGATGAAAAAAAGAGGAGATCCCAATAACAGAAGTCGTGTGCATTTTTTGGATGTCACGGTGATACGTTTGCTGGAAACATCAAGAGAATTGTATTTTTAATGTGCTTCAAAAATCAAAATACGTTGTTTCCATATGCATATTTCTAAGAACTTAAGTTTTTTTTCTAAATAATTTTCATTTTCTTTTTAACATTTTAAATAAAAGGTCTTAATTTGTTCTGGCTTAGAATGGAAACTTTTTTTTCTTAATTAACTGTCATGCACAATGTAAATTCTGAAGTAGAGATGATTTTTCACAGTGTATGTACTGTGATTAGGTAGTTTGAGGGGTCTGAAGACAAACTTCTCATTTGCTTCATCATTATAATGTAATGGTAAAATGCATAGTAACTTGGCCTTATAATGACGTTGCTTTGGTTTTTGTTGTTATGTTGGGTTTTTTTAATGCTTTAAGTAAGCACTTCAAGCCCCAAAATAAAAAAAGCTAAGAATGCTTGGTACTGTATGGGAACTTCTGTGTGTTTATATAGAGCTTTTCTGTACTTAATGCCAATTTAAAAGAACACTCTTTTTCTGGAATGTAAAAATATAAGTAGAAATCATAATGTTATGTAGTCTTACAGCTAAAAAGCAGTGGGTTAATAAATACAACTGTAGATCTGCACTAATATTAGCTGGTGATGAGGGCAGACATACCTAGATTTTTTTGCCTCACAAGGTATGATACAAGTTTAAACTATTGAGCTAAGCTGTATCTATTTCTACTCCATTCAGAATGTTAACACCACAGTTGCAGATGATGGATTTGCAGTAATCAAAATATTTTGCAACACATTCTGTGATCAAAATAGAAATTTGCTTCAGTGGGGGCTAAAAAAGAACCATAAATAAAACATGATTAAGTACCTGAGTTCAATTCATGAACGTCATGTTATCAGTGTGTGCCATTGTGCATAAATATTTGTTAAATATTTGTAATATTTAAATATAGCAAGCCAAAAAATGGCTATGTTAACACATAGCATAAAATAGTCAGCTATGACCGCCTTCATTTAACTTTGATTCCCCCAAGCTTTCTGCTCCATTTTCTTGTGAAAGAGATGGTGTGAAGGGATCAGCTTTCCGGATTCTAGCAAGAAAGGAAAAACATGTTCTCTACTGGTTGTACTATTGTATTGTACAGCTAGATTTTTTTTTAAAAAAATCACCTTCCCCCCCCCGCC